AATATTATTTTTTTAATATTATTTAGAACTAATTCTTTAATATAATTTTATAAGCTATTAGTCTAGGCCACTTTGACAACTACAAGACTAATACTATAATTTAAAATATCCTATAAAATAATACTTAAGGATATAAATTACAAATAATATTCACTTCGGCAATTACCAATTAAATAATACTTGAGGATATAAATTACAAATAATATTCATCAAATATTTTTTAATCTAATTTATATCAAAATAGTTTAATAATAATTAAAAAATAACTATAATAATTATTAAATATTAATCAACATAAGAAAAAAAATCTCATATGATAACTATAATCATGATAAAATATAAATTATACCTTTATATAAAAATAGATATTATTTAATAATTTTAAACATATGCATGTAATACCTAAATAAATATCCAAGTATAATAATTAGAATTTAATTATCACATATAAAATTTTATCAATATATCATATGAGAAAAATATTAAAAAATCATAATATATATATATAAATTTTTTATAGAACCCTAAATTAGACGAGTCAATCATATTTAATTAGGTAGGCCCAAAGTTGGGCTAAATATTAGCACAATTAAGTTTGTCAAATTAAAGTTGACTAAAGTCAAAAATTGATAAAAAATTTAACTATTCTCAAATTCATCATGATCAAATCTAAATCTAATCAAGTAATTAAAATACAATTAGGATTAAGTTTGACCAAAATATTTGATCGAAATAAATCAAATTAGTCAATTTTGTAATTGAGGACATATAAGAATTTTTTTTAATTTTTGAAGAATAAAACTATAATTTTATTTTGGGATATATAGTGAAAATATATTATTCTTGAAATGAAAAACTACCAAAAGGATATAAATTAAAATTAAAATATTTATAATGACAAACTATCATTTTAATAAATGAGACACTATTTTTTTTCCTTCTCTTCTCGTTTGTCATTGCATGAGGCATGTGATCGTTGCGGCGCACGATTGTCCTCCGCTTACGTGCCACCTATGCCTACTACGGTGGCACAACTGTTTTCATACAATCGATCAACGATCTCATTAGTCACTGTGCTGTGCTGCAACACCCAAGCATGGTTGTTCTCATTGCGCACGGGTTCCTAACCAATGGAACACTTCCGCTACCATGTGCAGGTGATCGAGTGCCATCGATCGTCGTCCCACTATGTGATTGTACATATGCATGGATTAACGAGCTCACACAATCGCCATGGCATGTAGTTGTGCTATCATATCTACTCGATGACCCCAATGATTGCCATGGCTATTCTTGTTTGTCGGTTAGTCGTTACAAACTACAACCTTTGACTTCCAATCAATTCCGGTCATGGCTAGTAAATGCCACTATAGCGGCATTATTATAGCCATTGAACAAAGGAAGCACTATAGTTGTTGTAGGTAGCAGCACTACTACAACTGCCTATGACTAAGGTAAGCTGACCATCGCAAGACTATTGTATAGAGGCAACCGTGCATGCTACCACCACCTTTGTCACACCCCATTGAGCTTCTACTATGTATAGCAACACCTGTATGCAATAGCTGCCAATGACTAAACCAATGATCATTAGAGGCCATCACTCTCAACTATGCTGTCAATAGTAAGTTGTCAATAATAATCTATTGATCAAACATGTGGA